GGCTTTGGCTGATCTCTTGTTTTCCCCCACCCCCCCCCCACAGCCAAGTCTGATTTCCAGAGATTAGGCTCCGCAGTATCTAGAGAGTAGCCAAGGGACAAAGGGACCCCACGCTTTGGCGAATGGCATCGCGGTTCAGGCAAGGTTAACCTCCCTAGAAGCTTGGCAAGGGAATTGGAAACACAGACTTTGTGGTTTCCTTGGACAGACGGAATTCGCCTCTGCTGCTTCCCACTCGGCTTGGAAACAGTTTGGGGAAAGAAGCGCTTCTTTGTGTGCTTCTGTGTGTTTGTGTGCGCACGAGCGCATTCCAAGCCACCAAGGGGATGAGTATGTGTGTCTGGGTGTTACCTACAACCAAACAAGACCACTGCCTTCAGGATATGATATTCTTACAAAGGTGAAACATGCAAGGGTCCCTCCACATACAAACCCTTTTTAAAGAAAGGAAGGAAGGGAAGCGTTGTGCTTGCCTGTGTGGGGGTGGGTGGGTGGGATGGAGATCTAAAAGATGAGCCACCAAACACTAGAACATTGTCCGTGTGATTTATGGCCCCATGCCTCCTTTTTAGGTTCAAGCAGAGTTCACAAGCAGTTGGTATTTCAGAAAAGAAATAAAGCTTCTCGGTTTCTGCAGCGAATATTTTCCATGAAGAACCTCGTGTGTTCTTTGGGGAAGCCCTGGTTTTGGTGAATGAAGCGGGGTGCAGCGATGCGCTGGGCTGGTTTGGCAAAAAAAAAAAATACCCCACAAAAAAAAAACACAAGCACCCTTCGGTGCAGGCTATCAGGGAGGCTGATCTTTGTGAATATAGATTGTCACTAGCGAATAAATGAGCATCAGCACGCTTTAGAGTGTATAAGGGAAACTTGCAGCTCCCTTTCTCTTGTCCAGTTATTTCATAATTATTGCATTCAATAATTGTAGAGAACCTGAAAGGAACTTGCTAGGAGATACAGAGAGCAACCCCTAAGCAGGTCCACAGTGCCATGAAGTCCCATTTTGTTAAATGGTGTCACTTCCAGAAAAGGGTGTATAGGGTCCTAGAACGTGACAGCAAATAGAACCTCTTTGTCATCTCCCCACTCCTATCCCACAGATGCAGGAAAGAAATATGCGAACCAAAGAGTGGTCGTAAGCAGCTGAGATACTTTGCAGGCTAAATTGAGGATGATAAATTAAGATAAAAGACGAGGAGGAAATGCAGTAAATTAAGAATCTTTTCATGATACATATTTTGTATGGTGAGTTTATTCATTAACTCCATCGATGATTACTGGGGAGACAGAAATGTGAAATGAAGGATAAGGTATAATTTTGGCCCTTAAACCATGCTCACTCTTCTGGAGGGGATGAGTGACAGGGACCAGTAGATGTTTGGTGTTATCATGTTCATAAAGCACTGAAATGGTGGTATTCCCTGAAGCTAAGCTGATTTATTTGGAAGGAAACATTCACACACACTGGCAACCAGTCAGTTCCCCACAGATTGTCCATGATGTTTGATCAAGGACTTAAGTATCCAAATAGTTGGGATTGTAGGCTGCAACAATAGAATGAAATGAAGGGTGGTGGTGGTGGAGTGCCCTTAGGTTCACTTGGGCAAATAAGACCACATTCGTAGTATAAACCACCGGAACCACTTTCTGGAGCAAGCTGCTGGCTGAGATCCAAAAGCTTAACTCAGTGAAACTTATTGCTAAGCAAATGCAAGTAGGATCATGCTGTTTGTCACTTGCCTGGGAAAAGGCAAATTTGCCTCATTTGGGTCTTGCTTGAAATTGTACAGCAGTGCAGTGTTAGAAACAGATTCTTTACGACTGCCAATAATAAAGCCCCTATTTTATTCATTTTCATTATTTATAGTCCCCCTTTCTCACTGAGACTCAAGGTGGATTCCACAGCGTGTATCAGTGCAATCAATAGAATGGAACATCCAATAAGCAACATAGTAAATGGAAAACTAACAGTGCGGTCCCGAAGAGTTACACCCTTCTAAGACTGTGTAGAATTGCATAGTGTTTTGGAAAACCTTATCTTAAAACAGGGGCTTCCATAGATTTAGCTTGTAAATAAACCTATTGTGCCCTTGATGCAATGCCTTCATCTACAGACTGAGAGACCTAGTGGCATTTGAGTAAAAAAATGTACTCATTAAGCTCAGCTCTGTTCTAATATACCAAAATGTATACCAAATCGAGCCAGTGAGTTGTAGTGGTTAGGGTGTCCCATGCTGCCATTCTGCTTGCTGGGTGAATGGGGGGGGGGGGGAATCCCCCTCTCTCTCTCATCCTAACCTGCCTCTCCGAGTAGTGATTGTGAGGATAAAATGGAGAAGGCAAGAATGATGGTGTAAATTGTATCATGTCCCTATTGGAGAGAAACCATGGCACAATTATCTGAATAAACAGATAATATTGGCCCAATTGGCAGAAATCAGGAGAGGTAGGCAGACTGCACCATTAATGGGAAAGTTACCTTCAACATCCATGGAATTTAGGGTTCTATTCACCAAAGAGCAAAAAGCATAGTATACCACCAGTAATCTGGGGGAATGTCCTCATTTTATTACAATCTGAAGGTGGAATCTTTTCTGCATGGCCATAGACAATCCCAAGAGTCTGGTAAAGAAAACTAATCCCTGTACTTTATGCCAATTTTGAGTGAAAAATAATCCACAAGAAGATGTGGTTGAAATATTTCCAAGATGCCTCTTAGGCTGTTAAAACCAAGGTAGCTGACCTATGTATTTCTTCTTTATATTGCAAATGAAAGTTATTGAATACCCTTAGTTACACTTTAACTTCTTCCCAGGAAAAACAAAACAAAACACCAAGAGACAGGATTTACAATAGAGATGGAATTTTCTCTGGTTTTTCAGGTTCCAATTCTGGTTCAATCCATCATGTCACTCTGGGCTCACAAATACTCAGGCGCATGCGTGACCTGCAGGGGAAAATGGGGGGGGGGAAATGAGAGTAAACAAAAAAGTTAGTTAATATTTATACCAAAATGACACAGAGATCAAACATCGAGGGTGAAGAAATGTTTATGTGAAACAATATAATAATTTATCATATGGGCAATACAGAGAAATTCAGTCTTCATTTTATATCCCATTTTTATCCAAAGAAAACATTTATGGAATAAACTGTAGACTACCAATTCAGTTGTTTCAACCTGCCAGCCTTTTTACCAATTTGTCCAGGGCAGTTTCACATGCCAACACTGTATAGTATAACAGGATTTTGTTGCTTGCCAAAGGCTTCCTCTTTTAACAAGTACCACTCTCCTCCAAATAAAATTGTGATGTTGGCAGGGTTGTATTTGATAACTGTTTTGAAAAGTCATCCTTTAAAAACTCTTCATTTTCAGGGGAAGAGTGATAAATATTTCCCTGATCTGGTGAGGGAAAAGCAGAGATAACAAATTTCCCTGATCTTGATGGACAGACAAAGCAGAGATAATAAATTATTATCAGAAACAACACACAGGAAGATCTACCTACAGTGTCAGTATTTTCTCTTTGCCATCCTGGATTGTATAGTCCCTTGTACTGTCATTTTAAATACATTTGTTGGGGGTCAGTCCCAGTGATTTAAGCTAACCTTCTGTCCCTGGTTGAGAGACCATGGAGTGAGTCTACAATATTCATGCCATGGAGTATTCTTCCCTTTGCATCCTGATCCACAACATCTGTTACTTGGTAGAGAAACCCACTGATATCTATAGTACTTGTACATAATCTATAGCAATTGTATGTAAGGAATGATACCAATTTTTATAGTAATTCTGTGTAAGGCAGGATACCAATAAACAGGCTGACAAGAGCAATCCTAAGTAGAGCTACACCGTTCTAAATTCATCAAGGTCAATGGGCTTAAAAATGTGTGTCTGCTTTGGACAGCATTATGACTGGCCTGGTATGTCATAAAATAGCCATGTTAGTCCATTGCAGCAAAATAAAACAAGAGTCCAGTGGCACTTTACAGCATAGTCTGGAATTACTATGCAGAGAAAGACAATGTAAAACCACCTCTGCTTGTCTCGTCTTGAAAACCACCCACGGTTCTGTAGACACCATGAGATGGCACATGTTATTGTTACACTACCATTTCATGATGAGTTAGAGCTCACTTCCTCAGATGCAACTGAGAAAGTGAGCACTGACTCACATAAATTTATCCTGGAATAAATTTTATTAGCCTTTAAGGTACCACACTGGACTTCGGCTTGAAACTGATCTGGTATGTGTTTCTGGAGGAGAGAACAGTAAAGTTGGGTAAAGACCATTGACGTGTTTATGAGTCAATGATCAATGACTTGGGGGTGGGGGCAGAGAGAGAGTGCATGTGAGAACAAAGTATGTGAATTGCCAGAACTGCATGCCCATATGGAAGTCAGCAAATGGTGTTTTGGGAGGCGGGGGGAATGATGAAGATGGGAGTCAAATGGGGTTCCAATATTTGTGATAGGGGGGTAAACAGGAGAGTGCATGTCCTATGATCCCACACGAGCTATTTGAAAGCAAAATGTCCGCTTTTGCTGTTGTAGGTAACTTTCCGTATGGTTGTGCTGTCTATCAAGAGTCCAGGATTAACTATAAAGATGAAGCAAACCTTGTTATGAGCCAACCATGTGCCATGTTGTATGAGGAAATAGCTACCAGAGACAACCAGCACCTAGGAGTGCATGGTGCATGTGACTTTTGTTGTGCTGAGTAATTTCAATGTCACAACTCCATTAGGAACCATGGAAGTCTTATGCGCATTATATGTGGTGGGGAGGGTTGGGAGAGCCTTGAAATAAACAGAAGTCTTGTGGTATCTTATTACATTTTTATTTTAGTTTAAGATTTTGGGCATTAGGTCTCACATCCTCACTGAGGGTGACTGATCTGAGCATGAGTTCACAAAGGCGAAAATATGTGGCCATTGGCCCTTTGTGGGTGACTTCCTCTGCATGGTGGGGAGCCCAGTGTAAAATTATGGTCTAGCTTGTTCTCAAGTGTATGTTCTTTGGTATGTGAGGAAGAGCTGGCGAGGGTCCCAGTAGGGTCATGTAGCTCAAAACCACATGGCTGTAAGTACTGTATCGTTGTCATAGTGAAGCTTGTTTGAGGGTGAAGAGATAGCACGTGCCTAGTTCATTCCAATGCTTGAGGAGCTGGAATGTTATTATCTCCACCCAGGACCTGCTCTACACAGTGCAGCAGAATAAGGCTGTAGAATCCCAAAGAGGGTATAGACGGTCCCACATCAGACTGTAAGGGGAAGTGATGTCATGGTTTAACTCCCACCACTCAAAAACTGCATAACTTGTCCCGTTTCAAATTTCTGCAATCCAAATCCTGTTGCTTTGTTTATTGAATGGCCCATCCTGTTGATCGTATTGACTTGCACTGGGTAATTCCCCCTGAGTCTCAGAGAGAAAAGAAGACTATGAATACTGTAAACAAATTTCAGAGTGTAGCCATGTTGGTCTGCAGCAGATCTAGATTTAAGTCTAGTAGCCCAAGTCCTTAAGGGATCTCTGTTCCTACTTGTATCTGAGGGAGATTTGACTCTTGAAAACCAAAATCTTGTTGGTCTCTAAGGACTGGAATTTAGTACAGTACATAGGGTTGCTAGATCCCCCCTGGCCACCGGCAGGGTATGGGGGGGTAGGGTTGCCAATTTCAGGTTGGGAAACTCCTGAAAATTAGGGGATGGAGCCTGGGAAGGAGTGACCTCAGTGGTCTACAGTGCCATAGATTCCACCCTCCAAAGCATCCATTTTCTCCAGGGGAACTGATCTCTGTAGCCTTGAGATGAGCTATAATACCAGTGGATCCCCCCCCCCCTTGCTTCCCTAACTGGGTGTGTTTGGATACATATACACACAGAGAGACAGAGCTATACTTCCTATATTTAGTCAAGATGGGTAGCCATGTTAGTCTTTCTGCTTTTTTCCCTATATTTAGCCGGGTAGCCTATATCTATGTTTGTATGTATGTAAAGCTCTTCAGGGGGAGAGGTTCTAGTCTAGGTCTTCGCAGGCGGCTCAGGTTTTCCATCTACAAGGCCCAGCTCATCTTTCCCTCGAGATCCAAAGCGGTATCATGACCCTCTGCGTGCGTCTCTTCCGGCCAGTGACGCCATTTTCTCTCTCCTTCTCTTTCTCCTCCCCAGGTGGCTCCGCGGGCAGCGACTGGCCCAGGCCCGAGACGTGAGGCGGGCGCGGCCGCCTGAGAGGGGGGGTGGCGGCGGCCACTTTCTGAGCGGGCGCCCGAGGCCTCGGCGAGCGCGGAGCCCCAGAAGATGCAGAAGGCCGCCTACTACGACAACGCGGCGCTCTTCGGCGGCTACGGCGCCTACGGCAAGGCCGACGCCTACGGCTACACCTCGGCCCCGCCGCAGCCTTACGCCCAGCCGGCCCTCGACACCGACTACGCCCAACGCAGCCCCCGGGCCTCGGCGAGCCTCAGCAGCAGCAGCAGCAGCAGCAGGCCCAGGCGCCGCAGCCCCAGGCCCAGCAGCAGGCCCAGGCGCCGCCCCCGGCGCTGCCCTCGCCCTCCCCGCCCAGCGCCAACCCCATCCACGCGGGGCCGGCCAAGAAGGGCAAAGGCGGGCCCAACGCCTCCTCCGGCGGCTCGGCGGCCACCATCAGCAAGCAGATCTTCCCCTGGATGAAGGAGTCCCGCCAGAACTCCAAGCAGAAAAACAGCTGCGCCCCTGCAGGTACCAGAGGGACTTCTGCCGGCCGCTGAGCCTTCCCGCCCGAAGACCGTTACCCCCTTAGCAAAAATAAAGTCAAAAAGGAAGATGTTGGCTTGGAACCACAGTGTCCTTTCACTGCAAAACAAACAACCCCCCCCACACACACACACACACCAAGTTTGAGTCCAGTGGCACCTTTAAGTCCAACAAGTTTAATTCTGGGTACAAGCTTTCCTGTGCATGCACACTTCTTCAGATCTGTATCTGAAGAAGTGTGCATGCACAGGAAGGCTTATACCCAGGAAAGCTTATATAGAGATCTGTATATGAAGAAGTTTACACTCAGAATTAAACTTTGTTGGTCTTAAGGGTGCCACTGGACTCGAACTTTGGTCTGTTGCTTCAGACCCACCCACCTGTTGCTTCAGACCCACCTGAATTTAACTGCAAAAGGCCATGAACACATGAAACAACCTTATACCTTATGGGAGGGGGTGTGGCTCAGTGGTAGAGCATCTGCTTAGCTTGCAAAAGGTCCCAGATTCAGTCCTCGGTATCTCCAGTTAAAATATCTGGCAGTAGGTGATGTGTGAGACCTCTGCCCTAAGACCTTGAAGAGCCGCTGACTTTCACGGACCAAGGGTCTGATTCAGTACAAGGCAGTTTTATGTGTTCATATGTGTATTGACATGCAGTGCTATCCTAAGCGGGTCCTGCTCAGACTTATTCAATGGAGTTTACTGCAAAGAAAGTGTTCTTAGGATTGCACTGTTGGTACCTGAGAATCAGCACTGTCTACTCGGGCTGGTAGCTGGCAGTTAAAATATCTGGCAGTAGGTGATGTGTGAGACCTCTGCCCTAAGACCTTGAAGAGCCGCTGACTTTCACGGACCAAGGGTCTGATTCAGTACAAGGCAGTTTTATGTGTATTGACATGCAGTGCTATCCTAAGCGGGTCCTGCTCAGACTTATTCAATGGAGTTTACTGCAAAGAAAGTGTTCTTAGGATTGCACTGTTGGTACCTGAGAATCAGCACTGTCTACTCGGGCTGGTAGCTGGTCTCCAAGGTCTTAGGAAGAATCCTTTAACTGGAAATGCTAAGGATTGAACCTGGGACCTTCTGCATACCAAGCAGATACTCTACCACTGAGCCACAGTTCGTCTGTTGTAGCAACATAAAAGTCCAGTGGCATCTGGAAGAAAGTTCATATTGAAATAAACGTTTAATCTCTCAGAAGCTACTGGAATTTTGTTTTATGTTGCCATAACAGACAAACAAGGTTACTACCCCCTTGCAGTTGAGACCTTGAGACGTCACTGTGGTTCAAAGCCAACATCTTAAGGCAGGCACTGAAGTCACACAGGGCTCTTCTGCTGGTGGAACAGCCAAAGCTGAACCAAGTGAAAAAGATACTGGCTGGGCTCTCCTAGGTCTGAAAGGTGGAGGAAGTGGATTGGAATCTTGCAGACCTGGGAAAGCAGGATACATTGTAGGCCTTACAATAGCAAGATTTTCAGGATCCCTTAAAAGATTCTTCTGTGACCCCGAAGTTTAACAATTGTATGCTCTGCTTGAGGAAGGCTCCTGTGTGACCTTGAAGCTTACATTCTGAATTACAAAGGTAGGCTGGTTCAACGGAAAGGTCCAGCCTTATCACAACTGTTTCTGGTGCTTGGAAACCAAAAGGGCTGCTAGTTATTTGCTAAATAAAACAAGACTAATTCCAAGCAAGTATGTAGAAACAATTCCTTCTGTCCAACTTTGGCTGAATTTATTTTAAAAAGTGAAGCCTGCCTGGAGCTCTAGGAATCGGACAGGCCAGAAGGTGAAAAGAATCACCACATAAACTTATTACAATCCTGTCCCCCCAGAAACCACCACCCCCTATTTTCCCAACAAACTGCTTCAAAACCCGAACATCCTCACAGAAAACACATGACTAGAAGGAAGCCCTGTTGAAAGCCATGCGGCTCATTTCTTTGGAGACTTTCTGTGTACAAATAAGAGGTTCCAAGTTGCTTTGCCTGGGAGTGAATCTCAGTTAAATACGTGGGACTGTCTTCTTACTAGGTGCCTGTGCTTTGGGGATGGGGAATGGAAAGGAAAGAAAGAGAGGAAGAGGAGGAGGGAAGCTGAGGATACTCTCTTTTGTCATCTCAGACTTCAGTCAGGCAAGGCGTTAGTTTTTTCAAAGAAGGTAGCCAGATGTCCCTTATTAGGAGGTGTCCCTTCTTTTTAAGATGCCCTTTCTTCTAGAACATCACAGTCCCCTGGAGCCTGAGGCATGTCACTGATTTCCACTCTTCACACTTCCCGAGGACATAATGGCCGGGCCTTGTATCAGACCCCACTGCTTCAAAGTGCCTCTTTAAAAAAATCTTTTTGATCTGGGGACACGGAGCATAGTAGTCACCCTTACTAGGCGGGCCGGGTGACAGACCCAGTGGGGTAACCCTGTTAGTTTCTTGTAGCAAAACGAGCCCGGTGGAACTTTAGACCCTGGTTTCAACGTGGCCTTTAGTGAGTCCAGAGTTCTCTTCTAACTAGGTCTGCCTTCCCCACTCCCACCCTAGGTCTACAGAAAGGGGGCTGTGTCTCCCCCAACACGTCTGCCTTTGGGCCCATCTTGGAGGGAAGGGATTTAGCAGCAGCAGCAACTAAGTGAAGGCAGGGGCATGGATTGATACCTCCCCCCCCAATTCCTCCCCTTATTTAAAACGGCAGAAAAGGGGGAGGGGAATCAAACGTCTCTGTTGCCTTCCCTGTCTTGGAAACGGCTGCCGCCTTTGGGTTCGGCTTGGAAACGGCTGCCGCCTTTGGGATCGGGGGCGGGAGGGGGGGGCCAAGGAGAGCCCCGGCCTCGGTTACTCCTGCCGCGCTTTCCTCTGGGAACGCCGCCCAGTCTGCTCCTCTCTCCGGGCTTTCGGTCGAGCCCAGCCGCGGGGACAACAAAGGCAAAACGGGCTCGGCTCCTTCTCGTTGGCGGCGGGGAGCGCAGCAGCAGCAGCAGCGACTGGCTCCCATTGTCCTCGCGGTCCCGCGGCCCGGCCCTCCGTCCTGCTTTGGGGCCAGGCGAGAGGACCCTTTTTCCCGAGCTTTGTCACAGGGATCGATCGATTCGTCCAATTAAATCCGATGATTTACAGCTCTCCCATCTCCAACTGTAACTTTCCTGTCCCTCTGAGAAACCCCCCCCTCCCCCGGTAGCCGAGTCTCTCTTAAATTCCACACGCGTTGGATAAGGCACTTTCAATGCCCCTTAGCAATGGTTTGCAAGTAGATTTCCCTGTTTCACGCAGGAAAATCCAGCTGCAAAGGATTGCTAAAGCACACTGGAAGTGCATTATCCAACGCCTCTCAGAGCCCCGGATTCCTCCCGTCAGGGTGGGAGATCGAATCCTGCTCCCCTTTCAGGCAGGGGAGAGTTCGGGGGGAAGTGTCCCTTCGCTTTAGCCTCTTCCTCATTAGCCCCTCCGGCGTGCCAGTATTGGTGAAATAAGAGCTGTTTCGCACAAACTCTGCCTTGAGCGAAATGGCTTTTATTCGATTTCAGTTCGCTTTGAACCCCGGATTTCAGCGTGGAAGCTTTTGGGGGGGGGAGGGTGTGGGGTGTGTGTAATGGGACGGGATTGTAGATTTGCCCTCGAATGGGGAGAAATAGAAAGACTGGAAGGGCGGGGGGTCGTTTATGACAAAAAACAAACAAACCCATTCTGGTTGGCTTTCATGGCCTGATTGGATCTAGGGGAAGAATAGCGATTTTTCGAATAAGCGCATGAAAACCCCTCCCGGGCCAGAATGTCGAAGCGTCCGTAGAGTTCCGGATCGAGTTTTTTAACTCAGCCTCCCGACCAACCAGCGAGGGCGTCAGACCTACACCCGTTACCAGACCCTGGAGCTGGAGAAGGAGTTCCACTTCAACCGCTACTTGACCAGGCGTCGCCGGATCGAGATCGCCCACGCGCTCTGCCTGACCGAGCGCCAGATCAAGATCTGGTTCCAGAACCGGAGGATGAAGTACAAGAAGGACCAGAAAGCCAAGGGGATCCTGCACTCCCCGGTGGGCCAGTCCCCGGACCGCAGCCCGCCGCTCAGCGGGCCCAACCACGTCGCCTACTCCAGCCAGCTCCCCACCGTCAACAGCCTCGGCAGCTACGACGCCCCCTCGCCCACCTCCTTCGCCAAGTCCCAGCAGAACATGTACGGCCTGGCCGCCTACACGGCGCCGCTCAGCAGCTGCCTGCCCCAGCAGAAGAGGTACCCGGGGGCCGAGTACGACCACCACGCCATGCAGAGCAACGGCGGCTTCGCCAACCCCAGCCTCCAGGGCAGCCCCGTCTACGTCGGGGGGAACTTTGTCGACTCCATGCCGGCCTCCGGCCCCATGTTCAACATCGGCCACCTTTCCCACCCGTCCTCGGCCAGCGTGGACTACAGCTGCGCGGCCCAGATCCCCGGGAACCACCACCACGGACCCTGCGACCCCCACCCCACCTACACAGATCTGACTTCTCATCATACATCTCAGGGAAGAATTCAGGAAGCCCCCAAACTGACGCACCTGTAGTAGTCTGGAATGGATTCCGAGAAAGAGACAGACAGAGAGAGTGAGAGACACAGAGAGAGAGAAAGAGAGAGAGAGAGAAAGGAAGGAAGTTTTGACATGTTTTAAATTACCTCACTCCCCTCCCGCCCCCCTTGAAGTATTACTTTTGAGCAGCCTGAGTATTAGTGGATTTATATTTTGGGTCTCCTCAGTAAACAGTTAACACAATCTTGTCTCTTCTTTGGTGACGACTCCTGTGTTGACAAAAATGATGATGATTTTTTTTTCTTTCGGTGGAGGGTTCTTTTAAACATTTTTAGCCGTTCAGAAGCATGACAGTGCAATATCCTTTTTCCCCCTCCTTAAAAAAATAAAATAAAAACACACCCTGACCATATACCCACAAAGAAGTCATAACTGGTAATGATGTACTGGAAGGTAAGTTATAGTAATCTATCAGTTTTTAGCAGCAAGCGATTCTTGAAGAGGAGCTTACGTCTATTGGGACCAAAATGGAGACATTTCCCAAAAGCTAATTTATATTTTTTAAAAAATTCTTCAGCAATGTAAAAGATTGCATTGGACTTGAATAAGATGTATTTATTATTTTAAGAGGAGCGGGTTTTTATTTTTGTTTTTGTTATGTATCATTGATTATTTAATCCTGGTCTTCTTCAATGTATTTATGTGGATATCCGTAGTTTCTTCACTGCCCCCTCCCTCCCCCAACTCGGGAAGATTGATTCAGGTCTTTGATGGCTATACATCTCCCCCCCACCACCTATTTAGTATATTTGGTCTGAAATAGAAAGAGTAGTTTTGAACAGTTGTAACAGTGGCTGGTGTTTGTAGTTTGTGTAAGGATTAAGTAAAACAGCAAATTGTAAATCAAGTCATAAATTAACACAAAACTGGAGCATTATACAGGGAGCCCTTACCTTTTTAAAAATCTAAAAAATATAGTAATTTATTTCACATTGTTTGGAACCATTTTGATCGCTTGTTTAGAATTTAAAAAACACTCTGTTCAGGTTGGGAGTGTCTCTCATTTAGCTTAATCTGTCACCTCTGGGTTGTTTGAATTCTGTTCTACAGGGAAAAAAACAAACTGAGAAACTGAGAACTTTTTGTCAGTTGCAACCCCCCCCCCCTGTTTTTGTCTGTTTTCCCCCAGATAAAATAGCAAAACGTTCACATTTACAAGATTAGGAACAATATAAAGGTGTAGACGGAATTTGGATTTCCATAGAGCAACTCAGACTGCAACTGTCCATTTCATTGAATAAATAATTATGATTTACATTTTATTTATGTTAACCATAAATCCATTTTGGACACAGGTCACTGGAAATTCAAACTTACTTTTGCTGATTAAGGAGAGAGAGGGGGGGAGAAAACTTTGAAGGAAATATTGACAATCAAATATCTACAAAGGACAGAGTGCTGTAGGACGTAGGGAAAAAATAAACTTTTCTGAAATACTCAGAATGGCTTTCAATCTAGGAAATTAGCTCTATCAATATTTAATATAGTCTTCTGTAGCAGACGTTTGGTACAATCCTGGTGTAAAACAAATGTTTTTGTCCCTCACCTTAAAAGGGATAAGGAATACAAACATCTCTCCGTCCCCTCCTCTTTATTTATACCCTACTGTTTAATCTGTTACAGGATTTATAAAGCTTTTCTCAAGGTAAAAGTGGCATTGGGTACTTGTTAGAAAGGATACATGCCCATTAATTTAGGAGGAAGTGCCCCTTATCTCTCTCTTTTAAAAAAAGAAGGCTTCCATTACGATTCAGATCTTCTGAATTCCCGGCAGAACTCTAAGGGAACCTCACTTTTCAGTTTGACTAATAATACAGCTCCATCTCTGGAAGTCACGATGGCAACTCCTGCAATTCTTTTTCTTTTTTCTTTTGTATGAGAAGCTTTAACTCCTACACTTGTGTCTGGCTTGGACAATGATGATGACATATATAAGAATCCCATTCAGTACCTTTTATAAATGCCATGTTAACAAACGAGAGAAGAGGGAGAGAGAGAGAGAGGAAAAATTGTAATCCTTTTTGTTTGTTTGTTTTGTTCAATTTCACTTTTACCCAAGTGTTGTAGATCTGTAAACAAAACAGAATAAACAGCTTCAAGCGAAGACATATTTTAACCACTTCTGGATCTAAAAGTGGCCTTTTTTTCCTCCCCTCCCTTTCGTTTCTTCTGGCACTGGCGACAAAGGCGCAACACAACCGGTCAGCTTGGCAAGGAAAAAAGAAAAGAAATGATTTCTGAGAAAAGTCGTCCAGGAAACACTCCCGGAGAGCCAACCGATACATACAGAGTGCAGGGAGATTTTTTTTACTGTTCCTCATGCCAGGGCCCGTTTTACTTTCCGCTCCTATAAATCAAAACAATGCCCTAGGAGTCCAGCCCTCGAGGTCCTTTCTGGCCTGCTCTGTCACTCAGTGGGTGTCTGCTGAGTCTGCGGGACTGGGAGGCCCGAGTGGGATCCGCAGCGGGATGGTTAATGGGATGGACTGGAGACGAGAGGCTCCAACCGGCTGGCCTGATCGCTCGCTCCCTCCCTCCTAGAGTCAGGGGAAAGGGAACATCATGAACATCCCGGGGCAGGGGGGGCGGGGTACAGGAAGGAGGGGGGAGCTTCTTTGGCCAAACCTAGCCTGGAGCCTAGGAACACCTTGGAGACCAAGAAGAGTCTCAGAGAGTCAGGGTCCAAGAGTCAAAGCTACCCTAGAAGGCCTATGCCCTGGAACTCTTGCCAGTCTCGAAGGTGCTCCTCCTGGACTCAAATCTAGGTGGTCAGCCGTGTTGGTCTAAAAGCAGCAGAACAAATTTAGGGTCCAGCGGCACCTTTAGGATCAAAAAAGGTTTATTCAAGGTATGAGGTGTCGTGTGCAAGGCACGCTTCTTCAAATGCCTCCCATTCCAATGTAGGTGAAAAGGCGTGCCTTGCACAAGAAAGCTCACACCTTGAGTGAACCTTTGTTGGTCTTAAAGGCGCCGCTGGGCTTTAAATTTGCTCTAAGTCTGCAAACGAGCAAAGGCTGCCTTCTGAGACTAGCAACAACAACGGCGGCGACGATGCCCTTGGAACGGCAAGGCAGGGCCGGGGTACCGATCATTGCGTCCTCCGAGCCTGCAAACCATTTTGTTGCAAAATCCTGGCAACAGGCAAAGCGCTTTCGACGCACTGAACTGAACTGGGTTGGCGCAATCCAACTGCCCCCCCCCGGGGGGGGACAGCTCCAGCGCTTTGTCCAAGGAATCAGGTCTCCCATTCTCCTTTTTTCATGGAGATGGAGGGGGGGGGCGCGCGCAGTGTATTGCTGGAGATGGTCTAGGAGCCGCTCCATTTAAACATCCCCCCAGTTCTTGGAAACTGCGTCTCCCTTTGCTCTTTTTTTTCTGCCCCCTCCCCCTTCTGCGGGAGCCCAGCCGTGGAGCATCCCGAGGCTAAACAAACGACTTGGCAGCGAAGCTCCGTCGAGTTCATTGGGGCTTCCTTCCAAATAAACCGGCGCGGGATCTGTGCCAGCGGGGCAGGGAGGGAAGAGGAGCGCGCCCTCTACTACTGCAGCCAGCCAGTGGCCAAACGCCCGAGGATTTAGATGGTGAGCAAGGCTCCCTTTGGCCCCCCCCCCTCCCTTTGGCCTGCGCGGCGTGCACAGAATGCAAAACGCGTTGCAAAGAGGTCCTGCTGTCCGCCCCGGCGCCTTCCCAGCAAGGACGCAGGCCTCTCCGCCGGCCTCTCCAGCTCCCGGGCAGAAGGGGCTCTTCAGCCGGACTACGAAGGAAGGCCGCGCCCGG